CCATGGCTCCCATGCACGAATTGCACCCTGCAGGATCTGGCCGCCGGCGCCGCGCTTCTTCAATCCTCCCCCCTGAGTTTGCGGCCCCGCCGCTCGGCACTCTGCCTGGGGCGCACCTCCGCGAAGTCGGCCAGCAGCCAGCCGAGGAACATGCCGTCGCGGACCTCCTCCCACCCAAACAGGGGCGGCCCTGCCAGGCGGCCCGCCGCGGCCAGGCAGCCCAGCAGGCCCCATGCCGTGGCGTTGATGGGGCCGCCCGCGCTCGGGCGCTCCTCATCTTCCCACTTTTCGAACTGTGATGAGTGGATGGGGGGTCACGGTGAAGGGCGCCGCAAATCCTGGCTTTGTCCTATTATGACACAATATTGCAGTGGTGGCCCTACAGGCGTCCGCGCCAAGCAGCAGCCAGGCGTCACTATTCATGCCAGGATCCAAATCCCAACTCGACCTCATGCCCACCAACTCACGCCGCTCCACCCCAACCCACAAACCAAGCAAACTCATCAGCGCACTGCCCCAGCGCAGCACCCCGCCAAGCGCTCACCACGCGCTCCGCAAACAGGAATGTGGCGTCCGTCGCGACGCCTGCCCTGCCGCGCGGGACCGCCGACACGGCCACATGCGCAAGCCCCCCCACCAGCTCTGCCCGCAGCGCCCCTCCCGGCCGCTGCAGCGGCTCTGCTCCGCCCTGGCGCCCGCCGCGGCCGCCGCCTCCACTGATCGCCGTGCTTTCCGCGTCCAGCAGCCCCTGGTACTGCTGCGGCGTCAGCAGCTCTTCCGATTCCGCAGCTGTCGGCGTATAAAACACGTTATGCAGGCGGCTGTAGCGGCCGTACGCGCCCGACACAAAGGGCCACGCCGAGTGAAAGCCCGGCCACCGCGCGTCGCCCCGCGCCTGCCGCCTCTCGCTCTCGTCCTCGGTGGTGTCAGGGAAAAGAGGCGGCCACCACTGCGCTGTAGGGGGCCCCGGGAGCTCCGGGGACGGCGGCTGCTCAGCCGCCGCACCGCCCGCGTCAGCCTGCCGCTCCGCCAGCCGGCTGGGCGCGTCTGGCGCCGCCGCGAGCCGCGACCGCGCTGCCTGTGGCGG